ACCCACCCACCCATCTACCTGTATTTGCCCTCTGTCTTCACCTGTCCCTCCTTCCCCCCACCCCAGCAGCCTCTCCCTGGGTAGAGTGGATCCCGTTGCATGGAGCCGGCTGGGCTGGGCACAGCTGCACAGTGAAGAACCTGCAAGGACTTGCAACGAGTCCCTTATTTTCCCCTGTATCCTCCTCCCTGTACTATTTGTCTCCACCCTGGAGCCCTCGCATGCTCCACTTCCAATGTTTCCTTCTCTATTGCCCACCCAACAATCAACCTATCTTTTAACCTGCTGCCCAGGTTCAGCTATATTGATCATTTATTGGCTTTATACTCCACCTTTCTTCCCAGTAATGGTTCAAAGCAGCTTACAGAACTCTGCTCCTCCATTTTATCCTCACAACAACCCTGCAAGGGAGGTTAGGCTGTGTGTGCATGATTGGCCCCAAGTCACCCAGTTTGCTTCCAGATTGATGTGATTCGAACCTGAGTCTCCCAGACCCTAGTCTGAAACTCTAATCAGTAGTCCACACTGGCTTTTGCAGTGTGGCTGCTGTTGAACAGGAGCAAGCAGCCAATCCTGGGTGAGTCATGCAAGTCGGGTGGTATCAAGTGGCCTGGCTCCATTTGCTGCTGGCCCTGGCCCAGGGGAGCCTTCCCTCAAAGGCCAAAGCGACCCTCTAAAGGGCACTGTTGCTTTCCCGTGCCTCTAACTGACAGAAACCAAGACTTGAATGCTGACAATAATGTGCAGTGGCCTTGCAGTGGCCAGTGAAGGACTTTCTTTCATCTTCCAGGTTTGCAAAAAGACCTGCCTTGTCTCTCCATGTCTCCAGTCTCTAGATTTAAGGGTTCCATATTTTATTCTTCTTGTCTAATCAAAAATATTTCAATAAAATTCAAGATTTTTAAAGCATTTTTTTCCTATTATGTTTTAAGTGTGCTGCCATGAAGGTTGGGGAGCTCGGTCTGTGTCTGGTTAATTGCTACTGCATTCCTTTCTGTGCTTTTTCTGCTTTGCACCAAAATGTTTATCTATACAGATGTGCAAGAGGGAGTTGTATTGTTTGGGTTTTTCCTAGGTGCCGTGGGAGAGTGTTGGTTCTCAGCTTTAGCTACCTAACGGTCTCCAAGCTTTATCCTGCGCATGGGAGTGTGCCTAATTGGCCAGTGCTGGGGGGGTGGGGGGGTGCATACGAATACCCTATACCCTATTATGCCCATGGGGCCGCTGCCATTCTTAACAGTGCTTATGTTACTGCATCTATAGCTCTGCAATAAAAGTATTACCGTTCTTGAATGCGTGTACTTCGTTGTTGGCTGTGGGTTCTGACAATAAACGCCAGAAAACTTACTATCCTTAATGTGATCTCAAGACCAGGTTTCCCAGTAGTGGGGAGGGCGGGGTATAAATTGAATAAAATAAATAAATAAATAAATAAAATAAAAGAAGCAAGAAATTACCTCATTCTTTGGTTATCTGTTTCTCCTTTTACTGAGGTTTTTCCAGGCCCCAGGTTCTCACTGTAGAAAATAGCATTCACTACTTACTTCATCTGTTGATTAGTATTTGTGTCTTTTCATTCTTAGTTGATCTCTCTTTCTTATTTGCAGTTGCAGATGCAGGGGAGATGGTCAGGGAGAGGAAATCAGGAAGAAGACTTGTGGGAAAGGACAACAATCTGCAGGTGGAAGCAAATTCTGGGGATCAAGAGGTACGAAAGAGACAATGCAAAAGGAAAAGGGAAGCAGAAGTGACACAAAGGAAGGAATTGGTTACCTGTCAGAGCAGAAATAAGCCTGAGATCTCAGAACACGATGGAACAGGGAAGAGAAATGGTGCCATGAATCAGAAAGTGATCAGCTGCAAATTCAGTGGTAAACCTTACCGGAATGTTACAGCACGCTGGAAAACATATAAATGCTTGGAATGTGGAAAGAGTTTCTATTGGAGTAGTGTGCTAACTAGCCATCAAAGGATTCACACAGGGGAAAAGCCGTATAAATGCTTGGAGTGTGGAAAGAGCTTCTCTCAGAATGGTGACCTGACTAAACATCACAAGGTTCACACAGGGGAGAAGCCATATAAATGCTTGCAGTGTGGAAAGTGCTTTTCTCAGAATGTTAACCTAACTGCACATCAAAAGATTCATACAGGGGAGAAGCCATATAAGTGCATGGAGTGTGGAAAGTCCTTTTCTCGGAATGGCCACCTAACTGCTCATCAAAAGATTCATATAGTGGAGAAACCATATAAATGCCTGGAGTGTGGAAAGTGCTTCTTTCTGTATGACACACTAACAACACATCAAAAGGTTCACACAGGGAAGAAGCCATATAAATGCTTAGAGTGTGGAAAGTGCTTCTCTTGGAATGGTGACCTAACTAAACATCAGAAGGTTCACACGGGGGAGAAGCCATATAAATGTCTGGAGTGTGGAAAGTGCTTCTCTCAGAGTAGCCATTTAACTGTACATCAAAATGTTCATGCAGGGGAGAAGCCATATAAATGTTTGGACTGTGGAAAATGTTTCTCTCAGAATGGCCACCTAACTAGACATCAGAAGATTCATACAGGGGAGAAGCCATATAAATGCTTGGAGTGTGGGCCTTCCCTCAAAGGCCAAAGCGACCCTCTAAAGGGCACTGTTGCTTTCCCGTGCCTCTAACTGACAGAAACCAAGACTTGAATGCTGACAATAATGTGCAGTGGCCTTGCAGTGGCCAGTGAAGGACTTTCTTTCATCTTCCAGGTTTGCAAAAAGACCTGCCTTGTCTCTCCATGTCTCCAGTCTCTAGATTTAAGGGTTCCATATTTTATTCTTCTTGTCTAATCAAAAATATTTCAATAAAATTCAAGATTTTTAAAGCATTTTTTTCCTATTATGTTTTAAGTGTGCTGCCATGAAGGTTGGGGAGCTCGGTCTGTGTCTGGTTAATTGCTACTGCATTCCTTTCTGTGCTTTTTCTGCTTTGCACCAAAATGTTTATCTATACAGATGTGCAAGAGGGAGTTGTATTGTTTGGGTTTTTCCTAGGTGCCGTGGGAGAGTGTTGGTGGGAGGGTGCCTAATTGGCCAGTGCTGGGGGGGTGGGGGGGTGCATACGAATACCCTATACCCTATTATGCCCATGGGGCCGCTGCCATTCTTAACAGTGCTTATGTTACTGCATCTATAGCTCTGCAATAAAAGTATTACCGTTCTTGAATGCGTGTACTTCGTTGTTGGCTGTGGGTTCTGACAATAAACGCCAGAAAACTTACTATCCTTAATGTGATCTCAAGACCAGGTTTCCCAGTAGTGGGGAGGGCGGGGTATAAATTGAATAAAATAAATAAATAAATAAATAAAATAAAAGAAGCAAGAAATTACCTCATTCTTTGGTTATCTGTTTCTCCTTTTACTGAGGTTTTTCCAGGCCCCAGGTTCTCACTGTAGAAAATAGCATTCACTACTTACTTCATCTGTTGATTAGTATTTGTGTCTTTTCATTCTTAGTTGATCTCTCTTTCTTATTTGCAGTTGCAGATGCAGGGGAGATGGTCAGGGAGAGGAAATCAGGAAGAAGACTTGTGGGAAAGGACAACAATCTGCAGGTGGAAGCAAATTCTGGGGATCAAGAGGTACGAAAGAGACAATGCAAAAGGAAAAGGGAAGCAGAAGTGACACAAAGGAAGGAATTGGTTACCTGTCAGAGCAGAAATAAGCCTGAGATCTCAGAACACGATGGAACAGGGAAGAGAAATGGTGCCATGAATCAGAAAGTGATCAGCTGCAAATTCAGTGGTAAACCTTACCGGAATGTTACAGCACGCTGGAAAACATATAAATGCTTGGAATGTGGAAAGAGTTTCTATTGGAGTAGTGTGCTAACTAGCCATCAAAGGATTCACACAGGGGAAAAGCCGTATAAATGCTTGGAGTGTGGAAAGAGCTTCTCTCAGAATGGTGACCTGACTAAACATCACAAGGTTCACACAGGGGAGAAGCCATATAAATGCTTGCAGTGTGGAAAGTGCTTTTCTCAGAATGTTAACCTAACTGCACATCAAAAGATTCATACAGGGGAGAAGCCATATAAGTGCATGGAGTGTGGAAAGTCCTTTTCTCAGAATGGCCACCTAACTGCTCATCAAAAGATTCATATAGTGGAGAAACCATATAAATGCCTGGAGTGTGGAAAGTGCTTCTTTCTGTATGACACACTAACAACACATCAAAAGGTTCACACAGGGAAGAAGCCATATAAATGCTTAGAGTGTGGAAAGTGCTTCTCTCAGAATGGCGACCTAACTAAACATCACAAGGTTCACACAGGGGAGAAGCCATATAAATGCTTAGAGTGTGGAAAGTGCTTCTCTCAGAATGGCGACCTAACTAAACATCACAAGGTTCACACAGGGGAGAAGCCATATAAATGCTTAGAGTGTGGAAAGTGCTTCTCTCAGAATGGCGACCTAACTAAACATCACAAGGTTCACACAGGGGAGAAGCCATATAAATGCTTAGAGTGTGGAAAGTGCTTCTCTCAGAATGGCGACCTAACTAAACATCACAAGGTTCACACAGGGGAGAAGCCATATAAATGCTTAGAGTGTGGAAAGTGCTTCTCTCAGAATGGCGACCTAACTAAACATCACAAGGTTCACACAGGGGAGAAGCCATATAAATGCTTAGAGTGTGGAAAGTGCTTCTCTCAGAATGGCGACCTAACTAAACATCACAAGGTTCACACAGGGGAGAAGCCATATAAATGCTTAGAGTGTGGAAAGTGCTTCTCTCAGAATGGCGACCTAACTAAACATCACAAGGTTCACACAGGGGAGAAGCCATATAAATGCTTAGAGTGTGGAAAGTGCTTCTCTCAGAATGGCGACCTAACTAAACATCACAAGGTTCACACAGGGGAGAAGCCATATAAATGCTTAGAGTGTGGAAAGTGCTTCTCTCAGAATGGCGACCTAACTAAACATCACAAGGTTCACACAGGGGAGAAGCCATATAAATGCTTGGAGTGTGGAAAATGCTTCGCTTGGAATGGTGCCCTAACTAGACATCAAGAGGTTCATGTAGGGGAAAAGCCATATAAATGCTTGAAGTGTGGAAAGTCTTTTTCTCGGAATGGCTATCTGACTGTGCATCAAAAGATTCATATGGTCGAGAAGCCATATAAATGCTTGGAGTGTGGAAAATGCTTCGCTTGGAATGGTGCCCTAACTAGACATCAAGAGGTTCATGTAGGGGAAAAGCCATATAAATGCTTGGAGTGTGGAAAGTGCTTCTCTCAGAATGGCGACCTAACTAAACATCACAAGGTTCACACAGGGGAGAAGCCATATCAGTGCTTGGAGTGTGGAAAGTGCTTCTCTCAGAATGGCGACCTAACTAAACATCACAAGGTTCACACAGGGGAGAAGCCATATCAGTGCTTGGAGTGTGGAAAGTGCTTCTCTCAGAATGGCGACCTAACTAAACATCACAAGGTTCACACAGGGGAGAAGCCATATCAGTGCTTGGAGTGTGGAAAGTGCTTCTCTCAGAATGGCGACCTAACTAAACATCACAAGGTTCACACAGGGGAGAAGCCATATCAGTGCTTGGAGTGTGGAAAGTGCTTCTCTCAGAATGGCGACCTAACTAAACATCACAAGGTTCACACAGGGGAGAAGCCATATCAGTGCTTGGAGTGTGGAAAGTGCTTCTCTCAGAATGGCGACCTAACTAAACATCACAAGGTTCACACAGGGGAGAAGCCATATCAGTGCTTGGAGTGTGGAAAGTGCTTCTCTCAGAATGGCGACCTAACTAAACATCACAAGGTTCACACAGGGGAGAAGCCATATCAGTGCTTGGAGTGTGGAAAGTGCTTCTCTCAGAATGGCGACCTAACTAAACATCACAAGGTTCACACAGGGGAGAAGCCATATCAGTGCTTGGAGTGTGGAAAGTGCTTCTCTCAGAATGGCGACCTAACTAAACATCACAAGGTTCACACAGGGGAGAAGCCATATCAGTGCTTGGAGTGTGGAAAGTGCTTCTCTCAGAATGGCGACCTAACTAAACATCACAAGGTTCACACAGGGGAGAAGCCATTTAAATGCTTGGAGTGTGGAAAGTGCTTCTCGGAATGGCGACCTAGCTAAACAGCGGAAGGTTCACACAGGGGAGGGGCTGTATTGTTACCCAAAATGGTCTAGTAATTAATTGATTGGGGGGGGGTTAATTTAAATTTTATTTTATTAAGAAATTTGGAACAAATAACACTAACAAAATATATTGCGTAAATTGATTGTTTGATAAGGGGAATTTAGCTAAGCACGAGGTGTTATCCCCGAGTGCTGTCACCTACCTGAGTTGGGAATTAGCTTTATTAGAGGTCATGTGAGAGGGGGTAACTAGCAAATTCTCCACATATGCAGGGCTATTTTTGGGCAGGAACGCACGGGAACAGAGTTCCGGCTGGCTCCCGAGTTGGCCATGCCCAGCAGGAACTCATTAGCATAATAGGCCACACCCAACAGCAGAAACTCATTAGGATTGGCTACATTAGGGGTGTGTGGCCTAACATGCAAAGGAGTTTAAAAAGCCCTGGGTTTTGACAACAAACAAGGTAAACAGAATAAGAAGGGAAAGGAGGGTGTGGCTGGATGACCACACATGGGGGTGTGGCCTAATGGGCTAATAAGCGGTGTTGTCAGGGTGTGGCCTAATATGCTAATGAGTTCTTGCTTTTGGGTGTGGCCTATTCTGGTAATGAGTTCCTGCTGGGCTTTTTCTACAAAAAGAGCCCTGCATGATATGTATACCAGGATTTTTCCTTCGAGAACTCTTAAATCAGGCTGACGTTCATATAAAATTATTTTTATTATACTAAAAAGGCAAATATACGCTCTAAAAGACGCACTGAAAACACTCTTGCAAGGTTGGCCTAAGGAAAAAATAGTGTGGAAAAGGGGTGTAATAGAGTAGGGAAGAGGCTATATTTACCTGTCTTGAAAATGCAGATCTGTGGAGGAGAGAGAAGCGACCTGCACTTCAAGGAGCCTACATGTGAGTAGGAGTGATCAGTCCAGCAGAGCAGAGACGGATGGAAGAGCAAGCAAGCCAAGCCAGCAAGTAAGCCAAAAGAAGCGGGCAAGCGAGCGAGCAAGTGCCACTAAAGATGTGAGCTTGCATTCATTGGGGGGGGGGGGGAGATGTCTAAGAACAAAATGACTTAGGCTGCAATCGCACACTGTTCACACAGCAAATTCCAGTTGGAAAGTTCATTGAAAGTGGATTTAGTGTGTGTGACCGCAGCCTTGGTGTGTTCCCAGTGACTGATTCAAGGGGTTTCAAAGTGTTTCTGAGAACCCCTTGTTGTTCCTTTTAGGTGGGAGAGACTTATTTGCATGTCAGCCCTTTTTCATTCACTTCCAAATATGTTTCCTAGCAGGCAGTGTTGGGATCACCTTTGGGACCAGTACTGATTGCATTGTGAATGGATATCTGGAGTGATATTAAATATGAAGGGTGTATGGTCTTTGTTTCTTTGAGCGCCACCTTTCCCTTCTGCAGGAGGGATCTGACAGCTGACAATATGAATGCCTGGGGTTTGGAAAGAGGTCCAGTCAGGGTCGCAGCCTTACCTTCCATCATGTGATTCGCACAGGGGAAGGGCTGTCCAATCACAATGAACATGTTGGAAACCAGTTAGTGTGGCTGACCTTGCCCCTTTGCAGCCAAGGCATGTTTTATGATAGCTGTCCTGGATGAGACCAGTGTTCCCTCTAAGCTGAGTTAGTGTGAGCTAGCTCACAGTTCTTTAGCCTCTGGCTCACACATTTTTGTCTTCGCTCGGGAAGGAGGGCTCCAGAGCAGTGTTCCCTCTAAGCTGAGTTAGTGTGAGCTACCTCACAGTTTTTTAGCCTCCGGCTCACACATTTCTGTCTTAGCTCAGGAAGGACGGCTCCAGAACAAACTAATGTCTGCAGCAGCCAAACTGTTTGCTCACAACTTTAATGCCAGGGGCTCACAAAGTAGAATTTTTGCTCACAAGATTCCACAGCTTAGAGGGAACATTGCTCCAGAGCAGACTAATTTATGCAGGAGCCAAATCGCTCGCTCATAACTTTAATGTCAGTAGCTCACAAAGTAGAATTTCTGCTCACAAGACTCCACAGCTTAAAGGGAATGTTGGATGAGACCCGTCTCTGTGCCCCTTTCCCTCCCTTTTCTGTCCACCCGCCCTCAACCAAATATACATAGGTCCCTGCCACACGGCAGGAAAAACGACAGCAGAAGTGCAGCTAATCCGAGCCGCACCAAACTAGTGACGCCACGGCGGGATCCCATGGATCCCCTGAGCCGCGGTGCCGTTGCTCCCCGGCATGATCAGATGCCGGGGAGAAAGTGACGGTGGGAGGGGGAGGCTGGCGAACTGCGCATGCTCACACACACGCAGTTTGGCCAGGAGCCAGGGATGCGCCGGCGAAAGGACGCGCCGGCAATCCCACGGCCGCACTTGCCACGGCCTTTCCGGATGAACCACCCAGGTAGGTGGTTCTTTTGTGGTGCGGGGTTTTGGGTGGGAGGGACGGATCGGTGACGGGCAGGCAACGCTTCCCAGATGTTGCCATGGGATCGCGCCCATTTGCCGCGCATCCGATCAGTCCCTCTCCGGGTCCAAATCCTCGCGTGTGACCGGGGCCATAGCAGCCCCTGTGAAGCAAAATGTAAATATTTTTCTCTGTACTCTCTAAAACCCTCTTATATTACTGCATTGTTCACAAGGTGGTGAGATGGAGTCATGCCTCATATTATCTCTTACAAAATAAACAGTGCCCTAATTTTTCAGTGGGAAATTAGAATAATCTGAAATGGTGTCATATCCTGGATTAAATTTTACGGAGGACAGGTCTATCAATGGCTACTAGCCGTGGTGACTAAAGGGAATTTCTACATTTAGATGTAGGCAACTTCTGTATACCAGCACTAGGAGGCAACATCAAGGGAAGGCCTTGCCAGGGGTGTCAAACTCATTTGTTATGAGGGCCGGATCTGACATAAATGAGACCTTGTTGGGCCGGGCCATGTGTGTCATAAAAGGTAATGCCAGGTAGCAGAGCTATAAACTTTATAAAGGACACAGACAAACTCAATTAATTTTTAATTAATTTTTAAAACTTTAAATAACACATTTTCACTGAGCTCGACACCCCTGCTTAGCCTCTTTGCATTGTTGTTGGCCATCCAGAGTAATAGTTTGGCCCCTGTGTGAGATGGTTCGCTGGCCTAGATGGACTACTCATCTGATCCAGCAGGGTTCTTCTTAAATTCTTAGGCTCACATGAAGCTGCCCTGAGCCTGCTTGCAGGATGGGCGGGGTATAAATATAATAAATAAATTCTACTGAATCAGACTATTGGTCCATCAAGGTCAGTATTGTCTACTCAGACTGGCAGTGGCTTTTTAGGATCTCAGACAGAAGTCTTTCACATCACGTACAATCTGATCGTTTCTGCTGGAGATGCCAAAGATTAATCTTCAAGCCTTCTGCATGCCAACCAGATGTTCTACCACTGAGCCACAGCCTCACATCAAACATCTGTCCTCCCCTTCGCTTACACTGGCCATTGGTCTTCTATCTTCCACTATATCCTTTTGTATTATTGACCACTGAGGAAAGCCCAAGAGGCTGAAACACGTATGGTCCTATTGGTCATTTGATATATTCATCAACTATGTATGTGAAAACATCAGATCTGTATGTAAAATGTCTAAAGCTTATTTTAAGCTCATGTTGATGTTCTATGAAGTCTGATCCTCAGACCACTTTTTAATCTTTTAATACTTGCTATTGTGTACTGCGGTGGCTTAAGTGGTTAAGACGCTGAACTGCAGGCTGTGGAAGGTCAGTAGTTCAGCAGTTCGAGACCCAAGTGTGCCGCATGACGGAGGGAGCTCCTGTCTCTAGTTCCAGCTCCTGCCAACCTAGCAGTTCGAAAGCAAGAAATTGCAAGTAGATAAACAGGTACCACTTTGGTGGGAAGGTAACAGCGTTCCGTGTGCCTTGGTGTTTAGTCATGCCGGCCACATGACCACGGAAACGTCTTCGGACAGCGCTGGCTCTTCGGCTTGGAAACGGAGATGAGCACCGCAACCCTAGAGTTGGATTCGACTGGCTTTCGAGCAAGGGAACCTTTACCTTTATTGTGTACACCATAAATACAAATCTATTTTTTGGTAATATTTATCTTCAAGTTAGGTTGACCCTTTGAACAGTGCTCCCAACTGCTGTTCAACAGGCTTCTGGGTGTACTGTATAACATCATCCTGACGCAATGTCGTTACTTCCTCACACCTGAAGCAATGTTGGATGTCGAAGTGACTCCAGTTTGCTTGTGCCTACCCTGAATTGTCCAGTCTGAATTCCACTGTCAGTTGGCAATTGTATCTGCTGTAGAGGTCTCCTTGGGAGAAAGGGTCTCCTCAGGAGTAAGTAGAGGGAGGTAGGAATTGAGAGCTGCCAGAAGGGAGGGGATAAAAGGCCAGAGCGGGAGGAATTGGGTGTCTGACACAGGCTGGAAGCTGAGTAGGAAACCAACCAGTCAGGAGAGGCTGGGAATCCTTGCATCCTGAAAGAACTATACACCCAGAGGTCATTTCGGGGGGGGATTGCTTCCTCCCTGCCTCTCCCCACCCCTGCCTGCCTGGGGCCAGGGAGGGCCTTCGCGGGGCTTCCTTGCACTCCCGCCGGCCTTGCAGGTCCACCGCCGGGCCCCTCATGGGGCTCGGCAGTGGAGCTGCAAGGCCGGCGGTGGCGGCCGGGACCGTTGGGGGCGGGATGTGTGGCCTTATGACACATTTCCGGTGATGTCAGGGGGTGTGGCCTTATGACACATTTCCGGTGATGTCAGGGGGTGTGGCATATGCTAATGAGTTATGCTAATGAGTCCCCCTAGCTCTTTTTCTACGAAATGACCCCTGTATACACCCAATGAGACCTGGAAGGCAGGATCCCTGCCTAAGTATAGAGTTGGTACCTCCTCCTGGGACCTTGAGAGCCCAGCCTCTCCAAGGCTTCCATCTGCAGGAATGGGGCAGTAGCTGAAAACTGCCTAAAAGCACACTGCTGACTCTTGCTCAGGGTATGGTCTGCTGAGACCTCTAGAGCCTTTTCACCTGTACTACT